CTATGTATTGCAAACATATATTAACTAAAAAAGGAAAACTTATCTTCCATGAAACTGGTCCCCTATGCCAAAGAGACTGGAGACTACTGTAATATGATTTAGGGTGACCACCATTTCTACCAGAGCCAGTTTTTATCTCAACACCATGATCTTCTATTTCCTTCTTCTCCAGGCAATATGAAGCTGACCCTGGTCCAGATCTTTTTCATCATGCTTCTGCTGCTACTGGGCCTGGGGTTGGGCCTAGGGCTGGGGCTTCAAATGGCTGCAGCAGTCCTGGAGGACAGTGATCAGCCACTGAATGAGTTTTGGTCCAGTGACTCACAGGACAAGGCTGAGGCCACTGAGGAGGGAGAGGGCACTCAGACCCCAGAAACCCTGGTGCTTAGCAACAAAGCAATTGTGCAGCCTGCCTGGCCAGAAGAGACCATCTTCAGTGAAGATGAGGTTGGAGAGAGCCAGGGTCTCAGAGCAGAGGCCCTCTTTCAGAGCTACAGAGACTATCTTAGGCTTGACTTGACAGCCAGAGAATGTAATGCCATGATGGCACCCAAGATGAAGCAGCACAATCACAGTTGCATAACCGAGTACACATTCATCCATGAGGATCCAAGCGAGGTCAAAGCCATCTGTAACAGTCCCACTGTTGCCTGTGAGCTCAAGGGGGCCAAATGTCACAAAAGCCCTCGCCCTTTCGACTTGACATATTGCAAGTTGTCTAAACCAAGCCAAGTCACCCCTAACTGCAGTTACCTAACTTTCATTATGGAGAAGGTCATTCTTATAACCTGTAAGGATATGAAGCTCCAGTTAACAGCTATACTATGAGGCAATTTATCCTGTTCCTTCTCCACATCCTATTGTCCTCCATTTGCTCTCCCATTTCCATTTTTTCTTGTTGCTCTCCTCTTCTCAAGTATCCTGCAGAGAAGGTCTTGAGAAGAGCAGACAGATTATTCTTTATCATTATCTTCCAAAAATAAAATTCTTCTTTGCCTTAGAGGTCATGCAATTTTTGTTTTGGTCCTGGGAACAGAGGTGGCAGAATAGAGCAAAGATGCCTAGTTTTTCTGCCTGTCTTGTCTAACCCTTTCCTTGGAAAGGGGTAAGAAGACTGCTGCTCTTGTTCCTACCATGATCCTTATAATCAGTCTGTTCCCTGGTCGGAGTTTACCTTTGGGTATAATTTAATGCATCCTTTACCCATCTTCTCCCTGGTACCCACCTTGGGCTTCTATGGCAATTACATGTCTCCTAGGCTTTGCACAATTGCACTTCTCTGCTGTG